AGGCTTCCTAATTAAAAAGCATGACAACTTGTTTTCTCAGAAAAAAAATCATCAGAAGAGTTCAATAAAACACTGCCTGTTTCCTATTATTGCTTCTAACAACGTTCAGCTAATTTTGTCCACTGAACTTCCACAGCTCCTTAAGCTGCTGAATGATAATTGCTCAGTTTGTTATTTTAATAGACCCTGCACTTTAAAACTAAGCTTAAACCATCTGCTCCTTCTCTAGTTACAGAAGGCCTGTAACCTCCAGCCACGCACAGTGATATAGAATGCCTTAACTCTGTATTTCATACACCTCTCACCCCAACGGTCTTTAGAAGCATCTCACACGGCAAGGAACAAAACCGGCCTCAGACTCCACATTTGCATGATGCAGGCGGGGTTCTTCTTCCCACTTGATCCAGCCTGTCCAATGCAGTTTTGCCATTGTGTATTTTCACTGACATGCAGGAATGGGTGGCTCCTTTATAGAATCACCCTTAGCAATAAAGGCACAACTACATGTTTGAATAGCCTGCGAAAAATGATTTATAGCACGCTATAGCCAATGTGTGCATAGGGGCAGCCCAGAACAGATCCAAACAGAGGATGCTTAAAACATCCTGAAGCAAAGAAAGAAAGAAAGAAAGAAAGAAAGAAAGAAAGAAAGAAAGAAAGAAAGAAAGCTGATTACCAAACTGAATGTGATTGGAAGGGACAATGCAAAGAGAGGCTAGAGCATAATGGGATGTGGGCAAAGTAAAAAAAGGGGCAGAATCTCAGATTACACATGTACATGATGGCATGGCAAATAAAGACACTGAAACTTAGTTTTAACAGATTAGGGAGAGGGCTGTCCACTATCCACAATGTGAAAATACATCAACACAGTGATTTCAGTCACTTGTGTGCTGACACACAATTTTGCTGATATCACACTTTGTTCAAGTCTGGTTCTGTTGTTTGTTGTCTCTGTTATATTGTTTTTATATTGTTTTGGTGTATTGTGAGCCCAGAGTCCTTTGGAGTCTGGTGGCATCAAATCAAATCAAATCAAATGAATGTTTAAATAAATCATTTGCATGATGATGATACAGTGGTATAATTACAAAAATGACATACATCACTATGAAGCTTCATTTTATATCAGTAAAGGATGCCAAAAGCAAAAATCTTTCTTTGTGCATATGCATTTTCATGTGCTTCCATGCTTTATTTATGGCCTGCTTTTCTATAAAAGTATCTAAAACATCCTACGCAGTAATTTTTAAAAATCTGCATTAATTATAGAAAAATGTGTACGTTACAGATATTTTCAAAAGTTTGCTCTAAAAATCTATAAAATGCAATATACTTTCCAAAGACCCTGACCTACTCTCCTGCATTTGCCTTTGCAGCCACATGTGGCAGGACACAAGGAATTCAAAACTTTTTCTTCCGTTTGTACCAGGCAAGGAACATTTTACCATATATACTTGTGGATAAGCCCATCCATGGATAAGCTGATCCTTCCATTTTTAACCAAAATACCATGAAAAATGTGCTACCCACAGATAAGCCAACCTGCATTTTTCATGGCATTTTGGTTAAAAATTCAAGGGTCTCCTTATCCACACCTGGGCTTATACATGAGTGTATGCAAGAAATATGGGTACTTTTAAAAAGCATTACCGTATATACTTGTGGATAAGCCTATCTGCAGATAAACCAACCCCAATTTTTTGAGTCCATTTTGGCACCTAAAATTCTTGGCTTATTCACAAGCATATACTATATTTCCTTACATTTTATGTTTTAGGCATAAAAATAGGCTTTCCTTGATTTATTTAAGGAAGCACCTTTTCATTATATACTTCTAGCAATTGTTTCAGAAAGCAGTTTGTGGCAATGGGAAAAAAAGATATAGATATATATTTATACAAGATCTGAATATTTTTCCAGCAACGTTCACCCTGTTTTGTGTCAGTTTTCACTCTCATTCTACAGATTAAGACCACTTTCCCAAACCTCATAACGCTCAAGATTCTGAATGCTATAATTCAAACCCACTTAGGAGACCAGTAGATCAGAGGGGGCCACGTTAGGATACCTACAGTTGGCAGAATGTCTATGGCACTTTTTAACCTTTGGGATTTAACTTTCTTAAAATATCTTATATTTTCTCACAGCATCCATAAAATTAGTTCCGTAATCTTTTTTTATGGGAGAATCTTAACCAGGACAAACTAGCTTCTCTGTATTAAAAAGGAGTTGCATCTTCATAACAATAATTTACAGCACTGCTGAAACTACTACCCTGAAAAATATGTGTTAACAACTGTAGCATTTGCCACAAAGAATTTGATAACTAAGTAGTTATAAATAGGGCCCATATGGCAGTGACCAATGCTTAAACATCCCATGCTGTTAACTTTCCAGGGATAGAGCAATGGGCTTCAGATGGACCTAAAGCGACATTTTTTCCTTGCTGTGACATTCTCTCTGAAATTCTATTAGGGCTATTATACAACTGCTGGGGCTCCTGTGTTTGAGCTTTCCTTAAATGGCCGTTCATCTCAAATATCAGCAGGGAATGATCAAATGGGAGGATTGTCACTTTATTTATTTATAAGGACATTTGCAGCCTGGGATTCTGCTGCAGGTCCATCAAACACAACCCAAATCTCTAACAACAGAAGCAGGTACAGTTGGCGTTGTATATGATATAAATAAAAGTCAACAGTGGCATTCAGGCACTGAATTAAAAGAAGATTGGCAGTACAGAGTGTGGTTGAAATGTAGAAAGTCCCTGATCAAGCTTCAACAGCTTTTTTTTTTTTTTAAATAAAAAAAATAAAGTCGGGATGGGAATGAGCTGCCTAAAACTGTATTTGTTGTTGCCAGCTACAGGAAGAGATACAGGATTAGATGAAATACTAGTCTGACTCAACAACTTCTATGACAATTTAGTGATGCTAACAGAGCAACTGTAAAATGTCACGGGGGTGACAAATATTGGGTTTAGGTTTCAAAACAGCCACAGCCCAATTCCCAGTGCTAGATAGAATTATTTAATACAGCTTGTTCCAGGTCTCTGGATAGAGAAGACACAGCTCATTTCATGCTGCCATAAAGAGGCTACATCTGATAATTCAGTTACCAAAGTTGGCTGCAGAATCATAGAACTGGAAGGGGCCACTAGGTCACTCAGTTCAAGCTCATGGTCAGCGTCAAAATCCACATTGAAGCACCCAGACACACAGCTGTCCAGTTTCTACTTGAATGTGTACAGTGAACAGAAGCCCACCACTTCCTTGGGTAATTGGCTCTTCTGTCAAACTGTTCCTACTGTGAGAAAGTTTTCCTAACCCTCCATTAGCATCTGCCTTCCTGTAACTTAACTCCATCACTCTGTGTCCAGCACTCTGGAACAAAAGAGAACCAGACTTGACCTTTTATAGGACAGCCTTACTACAAATCTTTGAAGAGCGCTCTCATATTCCCTCCATCGTTGACTTTTCTCAATGCTAAATATACTTAGCTCCTTCCATCTCTCTGCATATGACTTAGTTTCTAGACCCCTGATCAACTGTTCAAATTCTTACCTCAAATTGCCTCTCCATTGGCATTTACCCCACAGAACAACTCAGGCTTGATACTTTGTTTTTACATCACTGTAAGCCATCAGAATGCATCTATGCAACAAGCATAGGAAGAAACTGTATAATGAAATCCATTTTAGTGGTGGGCTAGTACTCAGTTATCTCACAGAGATAAAGCTGGCTCCATATGAAACAGGTATTGTTATTCACCAGAACTTATTTTATAACAGCCATGAGGAACCTGTGGCTCTGCAGATTTGCAGAAATACAATACCCACCGGCGCCAGACAGTATGGACGATAACAAGTGATGCCGGAAATTGCAAATCAGCAATATCTGAGAAACCACAGATTCTTCTGTAAAGAATCTAAGGCCTTTCACACACACACACCCAGCTATATTAGTTGTGCATCACTCAGGCAATACTTAGCCTGATCTTATTATCTTAATTAGCACAATCTCTGTTCTCTCTTAAAATTATGGATCCTTGATGTCAGACATTGTCTGACTAGTGACAGAATAACTTCTTCCCTTTTTTGACTTACCAGCATCATTCCTATTATTCAACTTCCAAATATCTTCCCTGTGGAAAGATGTTTATCAGGGTAATTGTATGCTATAGAAATGCTATTACAGTCTCTCTCCTCCTGTAACAAGCAATAGAACTCACCTGATTGCCCAGCATTATCATGTCAAGCGTACTGTTAGAAGGGGGAAGGAGGGAAACACACAGCATAATCACATAAAAAAGGAGCACAGGAGGTGACAACGCAAGACCAATTTTTGAAGAGCAGCCAAACATATCTTTTAAAATATGACATTTTAACATTAAATACATACTTCTTCATACAAATGATCTCTTGGCAAAACAAAAACAAAAAACAAATGCAAGTATTATTTTGGTCCTCTATTTAATTCATTAGATTTATAACCACAATTCTTCTAGGCAGCAGCATAAAGTGTGCTTCTTTCTCCAACTGTTCCACACCACAACAATCCTGTGATAGTGCTAGCTGAAGTCAGCCAATCAACCTCCATGACTTTGCAAGGACTTGAGCCTGGGTCCCCTGAGTCCTGAACCCCCCCCCCCACACACACACACAAACACGTGCTATACTTTGTCCGTCCAGCTCGGATCACCATCACGAGCATCCAGCAATCAAAACCAATAACTTGTCAAATCCAATTAGGTGGTTCCCTTTTTTATTTTCATTGAAAAATGCCAATGCTTACAAGTTGGTGTGAGTGTTCATAAGAAGGGGAGGGGGGAGAGAAGGGGGAAATGCCACAGATGAAATTTATCATGGGTCAGTAAGAAATGTGCTAGGCCTCTAGGGATTTGCAATGTGAACTCATTGTTCCAAAACTGACTGAAGAACCTGTGCAAATAAGCAAGGTCTCTCCCTTCACACTCCTGTCTCTGCAAATCAAACTTACCTTATAATTGCTGGAATTTACCCACGAGGTAGCAAGACCATCAACCATTTTATCCAGCATGGTCTGATCGTGTTCAAGATCAGCAGATTTCTGTTTATCTGAGAAATAATCTATCAGTTCTTGGCCAACCTGAAGTCGCTTCCCAACGTCTTTCTGCAGGACCTGCATCAAGCAGGACTCCATTGTGGGTTCCATCATGTTCTAGAAATAGAGCACAGGCAAAAGAGAAGCTGGAGGGCGGCAGGTTTGAAAAGTCCTCCTGTAGATGTATCTTCGAGGTCGCCTCTTTGTTTGATGAAGGTTACCAAGGGTCTGGATTTCAAAGATGTGATTCTGGGAATGGCAACAATGCACCATGTGTGTCTGAAGAGCAGCTGGCAGGTTATTAAAAGTTCAATTTAAATAACTAGTAATAGATAAATAAAGCAGAAAGCAGACCAGCCAGGCTGTATGACCAGGTTTGTGATGCTTTCCAAATCAACAGTCCATCCTGAAAGAAATTTTAAAGAGGCAAACGTTAGTGGCAAATAATGAGAAATCTACATTGCACAAAATCCCAAATGAGATATTTGACATTTCCATTTTTAAAGTACTAATTTCCCTTGCAGTTTCCTTTCAACTAATTCCTATGACAACTAATTTGGGTTCTAAAAATGGGGACTAAAAACTTGTATATTTTTGTATGTTACATAGTACTGAAGTCTGTCCCAAAATTAAAGCACTAAACGTATTACATAAGATGTGTTCAGAAAATGCACACACACATATCACCCCATTTTATTCAATAACAAAAACTTGAATCTAATATGGACTACCAGCAATCATATTTAAATAGAGAAGGACACTTTGCTATAGGATCTCTGCACCCAAATCAGGTATTACCTTAAGAAAAAAAAGGCAGAAAAAGCATAACCAAAACTACCAAACAGCAAAGTTTAGTATAAAGAGAAATCAAGTCTGGATGATGGTTTCTAGGTACTAAAACAATATAACATATTGTTTAGAATATGGCTTAACTGATCCTGTGAGAGATGCCCCATAATAAGGAATGTCAGAATGCTATTCTGAAACCTTCTCTTACTGCAGGTCAAGCAATACAATGACATGGGCAATACATCACTTGTAACACCCTCAGATGGCATCTACAGGTCTCCATATATATTGCTCTATGACAAAATCTTTGCCCCCTATGGGATTTTCTAAATTTTGCATATCTTTCCCACTGAATATTATCAGAGCTTCATGTGGATCCTTCATAGAGATGTGCAGCTATCTGGATCCAAAGAAGGAAAGCTTATTCTCTGTTTACACATGTATTCTATTTGTCAGCAGCTCCTTAAAGAAGCCATGGCTTTTCCAAGGGTTGCCCAGTAGCTACACATTCGCAAGAAAACACATGCATTAAGGGGGTGTTAAGGCAACAGCCCTATAGCATGACATTGTCAAATATCTCCCTGCTTGACCTGATACAAAGTTCTTATTGTAAACTACAGTGCTTGGTTTCTGCCAAGTAGACCCAAAAGTTACACATTTATCTACCTGTGCCTAGAACATTCCTCCAGAAGCCTGGCAGGCTATCCACATGCTTTCTGGCAAACTTGAAATGAGCATCAATGTTCTGTTTAGTGAGCAACAGCTCCCACCTTAGTGCTCCTACATGAATCTCATGTTTACCCATTTTTTTTTTTTTATGGTGGAGTCATCAGCACTTATTTTAGCCATGACGAGAGAGGCCTGCAAATCCTTGGATATTTTTCCAGGGTATTTTGTGACTCCCTGAACAATTTTACACTGTGCTCTTAGAATGATTTTTAACAGGACAACCATTCTTGGGAAGACTGCCTATTGTCCCAAGCCATTCAAGAAGTTGTCTTTGTAGATCAGTAGAACTCTAAAGCTTTAGAAATGCTTTTCTAAACTTTTCCAGATTGATACCTATCCATGCTTTTTTTTCCCCCCAGAGAACTCCAGAAACATCTTTGGAGCAAGGCATGAGAGGCCTCTAAAATCTGAAATTCTCATTTTGACAAGGGGAACCAACGTTTGTGAGATTAAGCAGCCCAGATTGTTTAATGAAGCTGGTCCTGATTATTGGATTGAATTGACTGCACTAAAGGGGCAATTAATACCAGTAGCACATTGCATGTTGGATTATTCTGTTAATGAAATAAATTCCCATGTCATTTACTCAGACTCTCTTTATAAATCAGCATCACTCACATGAAGCTTTGATAATATTCAGTAACAAAGATATGCAACATTTCAGAAAAAGGAGAATATGCTTTTACCAAACTGTATGTGTGTGTGTGTGTATGGTTAAAATCTTATGAGATCACCAAATCTTGCAAGACTTCCTCAAACCTGAAATCTCATGAGACAGTCAGTTTCAGAAAAAGAACACTGAAATCTTGTGCAATGTTGGAGTAACAATGCTGACATCTCAAGATGCCGAACATTTTCATTTAAAAAAAAAAAGTATTTTGGTGGCCAGTGCATGATACAAAATTTGCCATGGTGTTCCACATCTGAAAAAGCTGCTGAATCTACTTTACTCATACCGTATATAGATTCAATACAGATTTGCTAATATAAAAGCTGGATTAATCACATCAGTATCAGAATATTCCAACTGCTTAATTCTACCCATGTCCAACCAAAAGTAAGCCTCACTGATTTCAAACTTATCTGGGAGCAAGCCCCATTGTATAAATTGATGGTATAAGTGCAAATATATCATGATATTTACTGGCAAAGATATCTCAGATATCTGACATCCTCGGGGTTTCTTTCTGAAAGCAATCAGACACTTAAGTGGGCACACTCCTATTTCTAATGCAACTGAAGCCATGAAACCAAATACTGTGGATTATCATAATTCTAATAGAAAAAGTCAGATTAAACTGTCAGTATGCAGACTCTCAAACCCCCTTGTTATGGCTACTAATATAATGACCTCTCTGAGATAACACCAAATAAATACCTAGGTATTTTACTACACTGCCCAGGTTATTATAGGAAATGCAACCATAGGTGCAATCCACATGTTTACTTGAAAGAAATTTAGACTGCAATGATTGTATTTACATTTGCAGAAACTTGGCTTGACAGAACATGCATTCTTAATCTGTTGACTTGTTTTACCAGCTAAAAGGGAAGACAAAAATACAACAGTGCAAAAGGTACAAAAGATTTTTTTTTCTTCCCAGCATTTTTCCCGCAGGTACAATAGATTGTTCGGTGGTCACTAGGCAAAAGGATTGCGTACAAAAATTGACTCCTTGGTTTCTACACTACCATACAACACAGTGCAATAGTGGAAAATGATGTGTCCAAGCAGGGATATGGATTCCCAATCAAGAAACCATGGAAGAACAATTTCCTTGGAACCATCTGAAGCAGTCTTACCCTCTCAGGCATCCGGTATTGCTAGGCTGCTACATCAAACAGCCTGGGGTAGGCTTGGTTTGGTTACTTCTTGTTAGAGTTATTTTGGAGTGAGTGAGTGAGTGAGTAAATAAATAAATAAATAAATAACTCCCTCACTCCACCATGTTAAACAGTCACTTTAAAAATGAATTTGATTACATGACCTGGATTTTCAGCAAGATAAATGCAAAATCCTAACCACTGGCACCACTGCTAACATGTAAACATATCAGGGATGGGTGATGCCCATCTAGTCCCACATTTATGGCTCAACAAATATTTCTAGATTACCAGTGCTAATAATCAGCATTCATGTTACGCTGGGCACTGAAACAACTTGGAATTCTGCATCTGCTTCTGCCTGTCCAGATAAATAGATTCTATCTATTTCATTTACAATTACTCAACTTCATATAAGTGAATATTCAGAGTAAGCAGGGATCATGTCTGCTAAAGGCTATAGAGCTAACTTTACTGTTTGCAATCTTGTCATTTATTTATGTATATATTTATTCAATTTATTTATATGAATTGAATTTATTCAATTCTTCATCATCATCATCATCATCATCATCATCATCATCCTGCCTTTCATTCAGCAGTGCAAGGCTGCTTATATAGCACTTCCTCTTTCCATTACAACACCGTGAGACAGGTCACCCAGTAAGCTTCCATGATTGAGACCGACCTTGAATGTAGGCCTCTCCAGCACTCACCCAACACCTTAACTACACTAAGTACATACACACAGAAGTAATGCAAGTTTTATTGGTCCTTTTCCTACAATCCAAGCACAAAAGTACTACTTGCAAGCAGAACTTCCCACAGACACAAGAAAGTACACACTGTCGGTTGTCTTCATGACAACACAGCCAGCTCTTCTGTATCACTTTACCAGCAGCTGCAATCTCGCTCTTCCCTGCCCCCTTATAATGAAATGAATTTCCCTCACACATATTCTACTCTATTAAGTCTGGCAGATACACAACCTCCTCCTGTCCCCTGGCCGTGCTCCACAGTCCTTCAACTTCACACACCATTACTTGGAATAGAGGAAAAATGCTGCCTGCCTGCAGATAACGTTCTCTTAAAATACACAACCCTTGAAAATCTCTTTTAATTTGATGAAAGGAGGGCACATCTAATAATAATAAAATGAAATGCCCCTGGTTCTGCAAAAAAAAAAAAAAAAACTAGGGCACACGTGAAGGAAAATGGGTCACGTTCAGCACCAAAATGTGTGGATGGAACCCTTCCTGCTAAATAAACAAGCAAGGCAACCGAAAGGCATCATGTTGTCCAGAACAGTCTAAAACACTAGAGAAGTGCAGCCTAACTGACCTCTATCCCACCGGAGGAGCTTCCGCCAAATCAGTTTCCTCTCTCCCTTATCAAACGTTGTAGGAGGAGAGCCCCCTTCATCTGCGGTGCAAAGAATCAGGAGTGCGGTAGCAGCACCTTTTCCGACTAACCAATTTTATCAAAAGGCTTAAGCCTCCCTGAGCTGCAGCTCACTTATCGGAGCAAGTGCTTTTCCAGGTCATCATTACTGCAATCCTCTTCTTTTTATGAAAAGCAGCTGGAGCCTGGAAAGCAAAACAGTTCCTCCAGCGGAATAGCTGCCTGTTGCTTCCACAGAGTTAGCCTGCTTTTCCATCATCTTAACAAGACCATTTCTTTCAAAGGAATAAATATCATGACAAATGTTGTTCATCCAACTGGAAGATACCAGATGAAGTTTGGATGGACAGGAAAGTTTGCAGCAGAAGGAAGGAAGGAAGGAAGGAAGGAAGGAAGGAAGGAAGGAAGGAAGGAAGGAA